GAGCAGAAACACCCCAAGAATTCAGTAATCAAGAGAAGATTCGAAAATACACTCGACAGTTAAAGCTGAAGCTCTTTTCCGTTTTCAATGGAACAACACTAGTTGAACTAAACTAAACCTTACAGACTTTCTTTCTATGTTTCAGAATTTCCTCTTAAGGTTCCCAAAAATGTCCAACCTTTTTCGTTTTTTCCTCCTCAAAAAATGTTCTCCAAAAATCTCCCCTCCGACCTTACTGAAATTATCAGTTTACCCCTGAACGTACTGCAATTTACCAATCTACCCCCATCAGCTATAACCAATTCACGTAATCAATCCTAACCAAAATACAACAAATATAACTAATTTCTAAACAAATTCAAACAACAAATCCCATGAACACAGATTGAACAACATCAAATTAATGGAAATAAGTTAACCATATTAGGAACCAATCCTGGTTAACTTAGACAAAAAATGAATGAGCAAGGAGACAACCATATTAACAACAAAAGTAAACTGAAACAACATGAATCACAATTACCTGAATCGAAAATGCAAACTGAAATCATATGATGAACAACAAAGAGCAGGAAACCAAACAATACATAAAACGAAATTACCGAACCAACTCAATATTAACAAAGATACTATACATTCTACAACTAATAATCACGAATGACAAACCAATCGAACTTAAATTCGACTAAACAGAATTCAACGAATTTCTTACAACCAAGATTCAATCCAAAAACGATTCAAACTCCTTAAACCCATAATATTTAAACAGATTTTAGCGGCTCTTATATTACTCACATATAGATCATAAAATGAGAAAGGAAGATGAGACGGACCTTAAAACGTTTAACAATCCGGACCTCGATTGCGTATGAACTGTTTCAACGACCCCGACCAAAACTCGAACAAACGAGATGGTGAGGTCTCGTTTTGGACGAAAACAAAAGTGAAGCAGCAGCGAAGGAGTTTGGTTTTAAATCCAGATGCTCGACGAGGCAGCAACAATGCAGCCAAAGCAGATACTGGACGGGGATAAAGCAGCAGCAACACAGCAGAAGTTTTGTTGGCGGAGCTGGACGTCGACGAAGGTGGAGCTGGAGCAGCAGTCTTGGAGATGTTGCTGCTCGTTGGTTTTCGACGAGAATGGGGTCAGCTGGTCTGTTGAAGACGAAGCAAAAGAAGCAGTAGGTGACGGGGTGGAGAAGAAGACGCAGCAGCAGCCATGGGTGTCGAGCTCAAGCTCGACGACGAAGAAGACGAAGCAGTGGCAGCGGGGTCTGTTTGGACGTAGCAGAAGCAACAGTGGTGAAGCAGCCATGGACGTTGGTTATTTTGGACGTGAGGTCGTCGATGGCTGTTGTGGTTGGTCGACGAGCGACGGGGAGCAGCAGATGCAATAGCCATGGGAGCTTGACGAGCTCGTCAATGGCGGATGTTGTTCGTCGATGAAGACGAAGCTTAGGCAGCTGCTGGTCGAAGAAGAAGAAGATGCACAGTAATAGGGGTCGTTTGGTCTTCAATGGCGGACGAGGGAGGGGCTGTTTGGAGTGAGCTTGAGGGGCAGCCATGGATGAGCTTGGAGTTTTGGAGATGGTGAAGGAGAAGAGAGAAAAAAAGGGGCGGATGGTTTAGTGTTAGGGTTTTGGGATTTGAAAGTGAAAAAATGAAAATGAAAGAAGGGGAGTGCTTGGGTTATGGGGCGGACCGGGTCGACCCGGGTTGAAATGGACCGGGTCATGGGGAAGGTTGGTATTTATTTTTTTGGCCTGTGGTTTGAAATTGAAGAAGAGGCCCAATTCTGATTTTATTTATATTTTTGCTCTATTTTCTTCTGCTTTCTAATTAATAAAACTAAAATTCTAAATTAAGTTATAAGCTAAATTAACTTATAAAAAATACTAATTAATTCCTAGCGACAAATATCATACATAATTAAACACTCATTAAAACAAAATTGCACAATCTGACATTGAATGCTAAAAATGCCAACGATGCATATTTTTGTAATTTTTATTCTTGTAAAACAAACTTAATTATTCCTAATTGTAGAATTAAATCCTAAATGCAAATGCGACATATTTTTATATTTTTATCGTTTTAACAAATAAACATGCACAGAAAAATACAAATAATTATCCAAAAATGTCACAAAAATTCTCAAAATTGCACATAAAGAAAAATTGTTTTATTTTGAATTTTTTTGGGAGTAATTCTTTCATAGGGAAAAAAACATGTGTTTACAGTAAGCAGGACGACGAAGATGCCCTTTACTCCCGCTTTGAAATAGTAGGAACTATTACAATATTTCTTTTGGGGGTAAAAGTATATGGTATTCTTTTCTACTACTCCATCTTAACAGGGGTGAAATTACATACTCCTTTTTATAAGAGCCAACAATTATTATTGAGGTTTAGCCGGACACCAAATGCTCCAATCAAGCATGCCCAGCTCCACAAACCAAGTAAAAAATCATGCCACTGGAACTGACTACAAGCAAGCAAGGGGAAGGGAATTATTGTGTAATTAGTAGGGTTGCTCAATAGCTCTTTTCAAATGGACATCTGAGATAGCATCAAGACGAGCACAAAACAAATATGGTCGCGATCTATTTTAGAGATTTTCCTAAGTAATAGCATACAAGTTCAATAGTTAAAATACAAGCTCATCAACGAGCCTATATACAACAATACTATTGCTGCATGCATCTTTGACAATGGCTTCCCATGACTCAAAGTCAAACAGTTTCTTCCTTTTCTCCATTTCCTCCAAAACAAAGCAAGCATCTTCAATCTTCCTTTTATCAAGCAGGCCAAGAATCATACACCTTACTGTTTTTACAGGCGGAAAATGCCCGCTAATCAACATTGCATTCAAAACCTTCAAACCTTCCTCAAATTCTCCTGTCTTACAAATACCATCAACCACCCTTCTATATGTAGCTGCATTAGGATTGCAACCTGTAATTTGCATATCAACTAACATCCTATACGCTTCAGCAGTTTTACCTTCCTTATAGAAATAATTGATTAACATATTATAGATCACAACGTCGAGCTTAATGTGCCTCTTTTTCATCTCCACGAGTAAACTATTTGTCTCACCAATGTCGCCTCGTTTTAAAAGATCAGTCATCAAAACACCATAATTGACTATTTTCAGCTTACATCCTTGGTATTCCATATCGAACATTAACTTCTTGGCTTCTTTATACTTACCCAAAGAACTCAAACCTTCCATCAACAAAGCATAAGAAACTGCATTTGGCTTCTTTCCCTTTCTAACCATATCCTGAGACAAACTTTTAGCACCTTCAACATCCCCCTTNGCATAAGAAACTGCATTTGGCTTCTTTCCCTTTCTAAACATATCCTGAAACAAATTTTTAGCACCTTCAACATCCCCCTTCTTACACAAAAATCCAATTTGACAATTGTAAGTCACCACAGTCGGCTCAACTTCTCTTTCAAGCATTTCATCAAACACTCTACGCGCTATTTCCCAATCACCCTTTTCCAGCCACATCTTAAAAATAATGTTAAACGAAACAGCATTAAACCAAATACCCATTTTCGAACAATTCCTTAACATTTCATTTGCATCATCAAAACACCCATTTTCAACAAGCACATTTAAAAGTGCATTAAAAGACTGTACACTAAGCGTACAATTAAATGACCCCATGTTAAGAAAAAGCTCAATAGCTTTATCAACCAACCGGGCTTTCCCGTAATGCTGAATTAATCCAATAAAAACCTTTTCTTGACATCGAATATAATATGTTTTTAAATATCCAAGAAGGATTTCAACACCTTTAAAGTCTCGAGACTTAGCGAGCTTATAAATAAGACAAGAATAAGTAGGGTAGTCATGTTTGAAGCCGGTTTGTTGGTAATCATGGAACAGTGAAATAGCTTTATCAAGATCTTGGATTTGTTTGAGGTCAGCAAGTAGTGGTATTCGCATGCGAATGAGGTTTTTTATAGGCTTATGAGGCCTTTCAGGTGAGGATTTTGAGGTGGGTTTATGAGAACGATGATGACTATGGTATGGTTGGGAATGGAAAATTGAGGTTCTGAATTATGTAAGGTTGTTAATTTTGAGTTTTGAGGGAGTTGTGCTAGCTTGTTTGATTCTTGAATTGATCATGGAGTGTAGGAGGTAGAAGTCAGATTACAGTTTCAAGTGTTAGATGAAAGATCTGTGGAGGGAAAATGGGTTGCTTAAACTTGGAAGCACATTTGAAAGCTTATGCACTCGAGATTGGATGGGTACCGATTTTGGTGAGATTTTGATTTGGGCCAAACAGATGCTTCAGAAGCTGGAAATTGAGCCTAGTTTATAGATGTGTTTGGGTGAAATTCAAAAATAGTCAGATTTAATGGGAGAAATTAAAAAATAGCCAGATTTACAAATGGTCGTCAAAAATAGCCCAGTTTTAAAAGTAATTGAAATTTATCCACTTTTCATGTAAAGATAAATCTGAGCGAAAACACTATTCAAAACCCGGAATACGCCAGTATATTATGCTGGAGTTCCACCATAAGTATACTTGAACTCCAGCATATTATACTGGAGTTCCATGATAAGTATGCTGGAACTCCAGCATAATATGATGGAGTTCCAGCATAAATACACTAGAACTCCAGCATAATATACTGGAGTTTGGAGCACCGGAGCTCCAGTCTCCAGTATATTATACTGGATCCAGCAAAGTATACCGGTCCAACATAATATGCTGGAGTTCATACACAGCTGCACCGAACTCCAGTATATTATGCTGGACCGGTCTCTGTTGCAGCAAAATAGTGGCTATTTTTTATTGACTTGGTAAACGCTGGCTATTTTTGAATGACCAGTCCGAAAACTGGCTATACCGTGCTATTTTTACAGATTTAATTGGAAAATAACAACAATTTCAAAGTAATCGATATTTAGCCACTTTTCATGTAAAGATAAATCTGAACGAAAATACTGTTCAAAATACGTAAAATATTCCAGCATAATATACTGGTCCAGCATAATATGCTGGAAGTTCATACACAAGTGCTCCAATCTCCAGTATATTATGCTTGAACTTTCTGGGTGTTAGAGTTCTAGCATAATATGCTGGAAGTTCATACAGGTGAACCTATCTCCAGTATATTATGCTAGAACTTTCTGTGTTACAGCAAAATAATGACTATTTTTCAATGACTTTGCAAACACTGACTATTTTTCAATAGAGCCCGCTTAGTTAGCGGAGGTCTTGAGTTCGTCTCAACAAGAGCATTTTATTTTTCTATATTTCTGTATTTTGCCTTGGCTATATTCGTTGCGCAAACAAATACAGTCGATACAGGTTGTATCCTTCGTTTACATTCTTGTATACAATCGATATAAGTTGTATTATTTGTATACACCCTTGTATTTCATCTTGGTTACAGTTGATGCATGTTGTATTTGTTGCGCGAACGAATGCAATTGCACAAAAGTATACAGTTGATACAAGTAGTATGCGTTGTGCGAACGAATACAGTTAACACAAGCTATATTCGTTGCGCGTTTGAATACAAGTAATACAAGCCGATAACGATTGAACAATAGCTATGAATGGTAATTAGGTAAACTGTAATTATTAGCCTCTAAACTATAATGCTTTATGAAAATTCATCTTACATTTATCAGTTAACCTTAATTTATACTACTAAGATGAGACAATAAAAATCTTAGATAACATGCTAAATCATAACTTTATGATCCGTATAGGATTTCACGAGAGGAACTTAGATGTTTATATGACAAATTCTTTGCATTTTCATCTGCTTTTGATATTAAAAGTAATTCAACGTTATTTACATATTACACCAAAGAAAGATGACGTCCATTAAAACCCTTTTAAACGGATGAGTGTTATGAAAAGGATACTGAAACCAAATATATAAATCAATAGTTGAAAAAACTTATACTCATACATTTCACTTGCAAACAGTTAGGCAGAGAAAGCTGGTCATAAAGCTAATCAGGTCTTAATTTAGTACATGTATATTGCTCTTGCTGAGATAGTTTCGCAAGCATCAGCTCGCAATTTTGATAAACAAAGTAATTTTCTCCTTTATATTCAGTATATATTTTCTGTCAAAATGCCAAAATAATATTAATTTCATCTCAGTCCAAATGAGAGACACCACAAAATACGAACCACAATCCATTTCATATAAAAGTAAAAACAAGTAGTAGTCTCGTAGCTTCATCTCCATCTCACAAGGTCAACATATCTTTCTTTTTTTCCAACAAAAATATTCATTTTCCTCGACAATTCGACAACATCAAGTTGATACCTTGATAAACTAAAAGCCAAGATTCTCTGGCATTATAAAGCATGATCATTGTACCTCGAACTCAATTCTATCTCCTGTAGCCTGGATGAAATATCCACTATTAGAAATAAATCTTCATACACAGTGATGGTGTTTCGTTATATCCAGATCAAACATTGATGTTGCAAAGTCAGGTGTTTAGGTTGATTAGTCTGATGAAGTTCAATAAGTTGCTGAGAACCAAGTTTGAACAATAGAGTTATTCTTGCAAGAAACATACCATGTGTGGGTGTCTAAGTACTGACATGCTGCTGATGTTCCGAGCTCGGTCTCTGGATAATAGAAGTCTAACATGCGGAATGCCCCTCCAACTCTCTCCAAGTGCTGGCTTGGAAGTACCTTTCTCACCGGCCACCATGTGATTGGTGACCTAGCACAGAAGGATAAATATTATAATGTGGTCCACAAATAGGATATCTAGCAAACTAAATGCCTATAGTGAAAATAGTACGAAAATACTCCATTACTTATGGAGAAAAGTTCGGGTGGACGATATGGGGTTATATGAATTTAATTACTTCCTCCATTTCAAAAAGATTATCTTAGTTTGGCTTAACACAAACTTTAATAAAGAAGGGAAAACTTTTGAGATATGTGGTCTTAAATAAGTCATATCATCTGTGTAAAACTTTTAAAACTTGTGGTCTGAAACCTGTCATAACATTTGTGTGGTTATACATGCTTCTTATTAAGGAAATATTAAAAGGTGCCAATCTTTTTTAAAGAGACTCATAAGGAAATAGTGTCAATCTTTTTGAAACAGAGAAAGTAGAATGAACTTGTTGACTGTAATTTGAAATCTGTGGATCAATACAAAACCGAAGTTCCTTTTAGAAGATCTAACCCATTAATAGGTTCAAATGGCAAGTATATAACAACTTGACGCGTTCAAGTTTCTGGCTGATGTGCCTAATACACTGATCCAGTTAAACGAAAATCAATTCCATCAGTTGAAAAAGCGCATTAGAAGACAAAAGATGATACCCCATAGAGAATGAACAACGCTGCAGCAAAGAGAACATGCTAATGCTATGTTACTGCCAAACTTACCAAAATGCAGATATCATGTTCATGTGCTAATCGTTTTAGTAAAAATCCCACTGAAACCATTAAAGCATGTCCTGATTCACGCAAAAACTTTAGTTGTTACTTCGGGAGTCAGTAGTCAAGCAGGTAGTTTTGACATACGGAATTAAACTTAAGTTTTCTACTTCAACAAACAATTCACACATATGAAACAGATTACAGAGGCAAAGCTTCTATACATTTCTCCACTATTTTCGTTCCCTCATTCAACAAAAGTAAATTGACAAATCTGTGGACATGATACCGCAGGGGAAAACCTAATCATCTGCCTATAGACGGAAGAAGAAACTCAGGATAAAATTAAATTTATTTGGAAAAAATGAAATCCAGAAAAGCAAGATTAATATCAGTGTAGGAATTTGCACGTTTACTACTTTATTCCCATTTAACATCTTTTTTCATAAGCAATTGTCCATCAGATACCTAGAAACAAGTTTGCACTAGGATAGCAGAAACAACAAATCGGTGAAAAAAATTGTAGGAGAACTCACAAATGTTGCATTATGTCTGAGAGCATGTATCAACAACTAAGTTTCAATCCCAAACTAGCTGGAATATAAATACTAGAGGAAAAAAAAAACAACTAAATCTAAACCAATTAGAATTTGTAGTTTCGTCAACCAAGGAACTACATTAAAGAAAACAAAACAAATATTTCTTAAAATAAAGAAACTACAACTTAAATCTCAAATTGCTTAAGTAAATACTAGTAAAAAGGATAACTAAAAATTACTACCATAAAGTTATCATTTCATCTTTTAGTGAAAAATTACCTTGTGCACCACCTCCTCCAAGAATTGGTGTAATGAGTGTTGATATTGAGTCAATGATAATCATCCGTATATGCTGATCTACCTGCATATCATACCCTCGGAAGTGAGTGCCCTGAGGACTCGTACCCAATCCATGGTAATAGGGAAAAGGA